AATATTATAAAAATTAATTTATTTAAATAATGAGAAAAAAAAAGAAATTGGTGAGGAGTTGGCGCCTACGTAGCTTTCAACATAAATTGCAAATGTTGCAAGTGGGTCTCCTACATGGATGAAAATTTCTGACAAAAGGGCTTTTGCAATTGGCTTTGAAAGCCGTGTGTGGGTGCCCTTAGAACCACGTGATTGAAGGATGATATCGGATACGGAAAATGGCAGAAACGATCAAATTTACTTTCTAATTATTTTTCTTTATCTTTTAAAAAAAAGTCATCATCTCTACGACTTGTAGAGGTGGTAATTTTTAAAAAAATGGATGTGAGTATATGTATATATATTGACATTACATCTTACAAGACTTTTCTGCTAGCGTGAGAGAAGGGAATGCTGATATGCTCTCGAAGTGCCTCCTAATTTGTGAATATAAAAATAAAAACTCAATAAACTTTAGTGTTTGAAATTATTAAGTAATTGGATAGTTTTTTGGAATAAATAAGTCTTTGGATATTTCAAAACCTATTAAATAACACATTGGACTTTCTAAAACCTATTAGATACATTCTTATGATTGATAAAACTGATTAATGTGGTAAAATAATGGAAAAGACCTGAAAAAAACCAATGGACTTTCATATTTTGAACGATTAAGTCTCTAAACAGTTTTTTAACCAAAAAAAATACTTACATACACAAAATGAAACAAATAATACCAAAAAAAGTATTTACATTTAAAAAAGATTATTGATAAAATTTATTTTAATTAAAAATAAAAAAATATTATATCAGTGATTTTCTAAATTAAAAAAATAAAAAAAGTTTAAAAATGATTACTGATTATATTTATTTTTAATTAAAAATAAAATATATTCCGTATATGATTTTTTAAATTAAAGACATAAAAAAATTTAAAAATAATAACTGATCGAAATTTATTTTAATTCAAAATAAAAATATATTTTGTTTTTAATTAAAATAAATTTCATCAGTAATTTTTTAAATTTTTTTTAATCTGAAAAATCACAGACGTGATATATTTTATTTTTAATTAAAATAATCTAAATCAGTAACCTTTTTTAAATCTTTTTTTATTTTTGTAATTTAAAAAATCACTGACAGAATATATTTTATTTTTAATTAAAATAAATTTTTTCAAAGATCTTTTTTGAGTGTAAGTATTTTTTTATAAATTTAAGTATTTTTTTTTTTTTGGTATATTTGTTTCATTTTATAGATCTAAGTATTTTTTTGTCCAAAAAATGTTAGAAACTTAATTATTCAAAATATGAATGTCCATTGGCTTTTTTTTCCAATTTTTTTCATTATTTTACCACATTAACCAGTTATATAAGTCATAAGAATGTATCTAACAAGTTTTAAAAAGTTCAAGAAGTTATTTAACATGTTTCGGAATGTCTAATGACTTATTTGTTCTACAAAATTATCCAATAACTTAATTATTCCAAATACTAAAATTTATTGTTTTTTTAGATTTTTTTACATAAAAATGGCCACTAGCATGTATGTATGTTTGCTCCGCAAGTGACCACTAGTAAACTTAGTTTTTATAATTAAAGAGGTTGAAGAATTGTTATTTGTGAAGGTAGTGATTTTTTTAAAAGGTTGAGAAAGAAATGATTAAAAGGTAAATGGGTCCGTCTAAAAAGGTTATTATCTCCATTCCTTTTTATCATTATTTTTAATTATTATATTTTATTTTATTTTAATAAATCTATAAAGGTATAAGTAAAAATATATAAATTAATTATTATAAAATATATTTATTAATTTTGCTTCCATTTTTAGTTTTTTGAAAATTTTTACACAAGTTTTTGTATTTTGTGTTAATAAGTTTATTTTTCAGTCAACTCGTTATATTATTATGAATAGATTATTTTCAAATGTTTTTATATATAAATTAATATTAATTTATAAATTATAAAATAAGGGGTTGTTTGGTAGTTGTTGAACAGTTTAGTGTAGAATGATTAAGAGGCTCTCATGATATAGTGCAAAATGAAATATAATTGTTTGGTAAGTGTTTACAGTGAAATTAGGGCGTTGAATGGTTAAGGGAGACATATGATACAAAATCATTCAGAGAGTTTTAAAATCATCAAGAGACATATTTTTTTTTGCCAAACAAGATTCACCTCTTAACGATTCAGATGCTACCTTTTAATGGAACTATTAAGAGGTAAGCAAACAACCTCTAAATTTTCTATTTAAAAAATATATATATATATATATATATATATATTATATATATGAAATTGTCTATATGTATAGATAACACAAATATAGCAAAAGTAAGATAATTCAACACAAATATACCATGAGACTGATAA